GTTTACTTGGCTTTGGCGGGTTTCTCGCTCTTCTTGGGCAGCAGCACGGCCTGGATGTTGGGCAGCACGCCGCCCTGAGCGATGGTCACTCGGCCCAGGAGTTTGTTCAGCTCCTCATCATTGCGCACCGCCAGCTGCAGGTGACGGGGAATGATGCGGGTCTTCTTGTTGTCTCTGGCGGCGTTTCCAGCCAACTCCAGGATCTCAGCGGTGAGATACTCGAGCACAGCGGCCAGATAAACGGGAGCTCCGGCACCGACGCGCTGTGCGTAGTTACCTTTGCGGAGAAGCCTGTGAACACGACCGACGGGGAACTGCAGCCCTGCTCTGGAGGAGCGAGTCTTGGCCTTCGCTCTCGCCTTGCCACCAGTTTTGCCTCTTCCACTCATTGTTGGTTGTAAAAAAAAAAAAAATTTATGTTTATAATGAAGAAATAAATCCGTGAGCTCCGCTCTACTGATTTTAAAAGAGCGTGCGAGTCGCCCATTGGTTTAGAGCCTGTAAGATTTCAAACCAATCACTGAACTTCCCTCCAACACCCACCGCCGAAGCCACGCCTCCAAAGCTGGCGGTCTGATTGTGCAGCGTTAAAGGAACACTCCACTATTTCTGAAGATAGGCTCAATTTCTAACTCCCCTAGAGTTAAACAGTTGAGTTTTACCGTTTTCAAAACCATTCAGCTGATCTCCGGGTCTGGCGGTAGCACTTTTAGCTGTAGCTTAGCATAGATCATTGAATCTGATTAGACAGTTAGCATCTCGCTCAAAAATAACTAAAGAGTTTTTATATTTTTCCTATTTAAAACTAATGTTTTTTTTACTTCACTTTTTAAAATAATCAAAAAGATAGTTTTAAAAACAACAATAGAAAAAACAAAATGCTAAAATTATTTCAATATAATTTTCCTAAGTTGAAATTTAGGGGTTATGGTTCAGGACAACCACCTCCCAATTGAAAGTACCCAATAAACTCTGCTCCTTTTTATCATCACTTCGTCTCCTGCTTCTGCTCTTCGCTGGCTTTGCTCAGTCAGACTTGCTGTTAACAGGTTTTAGGTATTAGATTAGTCTGCTGACTAGTTCTGTTACCAGACACAGCAGATATTTTCTGACAGGATCTGGATCTTAATTATCTGGCATGGAGGCATCCTTCAGATCATCAGGATCTTTGATGAACGTTTGTTTCCAGAAGCTTTACTTTCACTGTTCATGTTATATTATATATTATTATGGCAAAGTGGTGGCTAATTTCTATGAATTCATATAAACTTATTCATAACTCTCCGACCTGAGTTTTTATTATTATTATTACTAATAGTATTATGACAGATCATCTCCTGACCAGACATGAGTCACAGACAGACTCGAAGTGTCCGGATGTTTGTGCTTCAAGCTGCCCAAAACAACATCTGTATGAAACACTGCGCACGCCCTTCACTGATGCTCATTTCATTAAATTCACTTCCAAACTGTTTCTGAAACACACAGAGGACGAGTTTAATCTTTTATCAACTTTTCCACTTAAACGAGGCATTAAATGCACACGCGGCTTTGTTCCGTGGCTGACGCTCGCCTTGAGTTTGATCTGACCGGGGCAAAACAAACATTTCCTCGCCGCGTATTTTAGTGTCCACAGAAAGCCAAGAACCTCTGCTTGCTGTTCACTTTGTTTCTACTGCGCCAAACTATTTTAGCACTCGAGTTTTGCCCTTAAATGTAGGAGAAGAAAACACAAGCGCGAGCGGCTCGCGGACGCTCGCAGACACAGAGCGGGCAGGTTGAGTCTATAAGGTTCTCATGTTTTAAATAAGAGCGCAGCGC